TTTTTTTTTTTTTTTTTTTTTTTTTTTTTTTTTTTTTTTTTTTTTTTTTTTCTCTTGTACAGAAATGATTTTTCTTTACCTTTTTGTGTTGAATGTTTTGTAACCGTGTCAACCTTCAGCTGTCTGAGTATGTTCTAATGCAAAAGGTGTAAGCGTTAAAATGACGTATACATTTTTGTATGAGAAAGTTTAAAAATCCTTAAATATTTCCTTGGAAAAGGGGGAAAAATTAAAGAATGTTTCTTACTAATTGTTTTTGTCTCATTTTCTTAAACAATTGTTACATAGACTTTTTTTTTTATTTATTTCTCTTTTTTTATAAACATTCCTCATGATTAAATTGACTACTTCTGATTATTTTTGATGTTGTTGAATGGAAAACATGCCTGAAATTATTTATTATAGCAGAGGAATTTAATTTGGTGACTTGGCTTCAAGATCCTCCCATGTTGTTAAATATTGCACTCAATTTCTGTGTATACACCCCCGCAGCCTATAGGAGGATGCTGGGGTGGTGGAAGGCTTGAAACTGCTCCCAGAGGGGGAAGATGGGAAATTCTGAAGCCTAAATGGAAACTTGAGAGTTGTGTTGATTCCCGATTCTTGTGTTATCTGTCCAGCTTGCAGATCTTTTAAAATGCAAAATCATTCAAATCCCACGAGGCTTTCAGAATCAGTTGAGGGGTTGATTGTTTGTTTTCTTTCCTTGTTTTGTTTTTTCCAGAACATGTGTTAAAGCCTTACAAAATTGTGCCTTCATTCTTTAAGTACATGGCACTGTATTGAATATTTGTCTTTTGGGTTTTTAAGAACAGGTGCCACTTTTTTTAAGGGTAAATAAACACATTTGAGCTCTGTTTGAGAACACAGTTAAATCAGTTATATATCCAAAGTGTTGGACATCAGCGTCATGGAATATATTAGACTGGAATTAAAAGCGCAGCAGTGTAACGTCTGTGACATGATTGTTTGTTGGGGCGTTTGGTAAAAAGTCACAGGGAGACCATCCTGTCCCTTTTAACATCATAAATGATCTGACCCTGATGAAAGAGATTACTACCCTGCTGGCTAAATTAACTAATGCTGAACATCAAAGTGTAGAAAAGAAATAATGTGATACTGGTGGAAGTTCCTCTCCCCTGCTGGCTGCATTTACATAGCGTCATATGTAATATCCATGCATGAATTGGAAAAAAATAAAATAAAACAATTTCCTTCGGGGTCAACCTTCAGGATCAATAAAGTTTTATTGAATTGAATTGAATTCTGTTCTATTTATGCAATTTAGAGCGGTGGAGCTACCTTAGGATGAGAGGTGGAGTACACCTTGAGCAGCTCGACAGTCTGTTGCCAACACAGAGGCAGACAACCATTCAGAACATACAAACTACACACACAGAGGCCAAATGGTCGATTCAAACCAGTGACCCTTTTGCTGTGAGGCAACAGTGCTAACCACTATGCAGCCCATTATATTAATATATTTATAGTTTTTAGCTAATCCACTCACCACTGTTTTGGTGAGAAGCCTTTTCCTGTTGGGAAGCGGCACCTCTGCACAGAGCGCAAACAAGCACTGGTATCCTGACTGTTTTATCTTCTGATAATTCACTGGAGAATACTACAAAAAGTTCATTTTGTGCACATTTTCAAGGGCCGTGTCACCATACAGCAGATTAAGCAGAACAAAGTGGATGGATGGATATATTTGTGATTAGTTGCATTTCCATACCTATATTGATACCAGGGTCATTTTTCTAGCTGTGATTTCTTCTAAAACAATCATTTCTTTAATCCTGCAAATGTTAAATGAAGAAACTGCATTGGCGCTTACATGTTCTGTATTAATTCTGGGATCTATTATTTTAAACATACAACACTGATTAAACAATTTTGCATCCTGATAGAGGTTCTCACACACATCCACAGAGCAGGGCCTCGATCAGTCATGCACTGATGCCCAGCCTTTTTCAACCCTTAAATATTCGTGTGGATATATTCCAAAGAAATATCGCAGCATAACTTTGTACTGTAGGACCTGCAATTCAGACGTGTATGGTTTGATTAAATATGCTAAAGTTTCTGTATCACAAAAACATCAGCTATCTCTGAGGGAATCAGATAAGAAGCACTGATTGATTTTATATGCAATGACCTTTATATTTATACGCAGGTTTGGCTTATAAATGTTTGCACTCAGTCGCAGCAGAACTGCTTTAATGTGTAATTTTAGTCTGTAAATGTAATCCCTTTTAAGTACAACATCCAAATTCAAAGTTCCTATATTCTAAGCACAATAATATTCATGTGTTTTGTATTTAATTCAAGCATTACATTCGTGGAAATCATTCCATCTTCCTTTTACATACAGCATAATCCCTCTGCATGTTTTCCCCTCATAAATGAGCCTCCCAAGTTGTTTTCTTCATTTTCTATCATTGTACCACAACATGAAGCCAGGTTAATGTATAAATATTGTTTATTCATGGAATGACAACCATCATATTTTTATTATACCCTTAGGGTATGGAGTTCTTCAATTTAGATCCACACACTAAAGGCAAATCTTAGTTTGCAGCTTTGATTATTTCAAGGCCATAAAAAAAACTTGCCCCATTACACAAAACTAAAAAAGCAATTCCTGAGGTAGAGCAAGTCTCAGTAAAACCCAACACCTTCAGGTTTCACTTTACTGAACAGATTTCATTTGATCCAGATGACACAGGTTCAGGCATCCTGGAGCCGACAGCTCCATCTCCTCAACAATCTTGCTTGACTTCCATTAGACACAAGCCGGGAAGGTGACCATTTGTGCTAGGGGGAGGAAAAAAAGGGAGGAAATGGTTCAGAAATGTATGACTGGAGGGCAGAATGAGGCAGAGACACTGCGGGGTTTCTCACCTGGCGTGTCCGAGCAACACAACCACAGACAAGGTGCCAGCCGGGAGGAATCTGAAGAGCTTCTGCAGGCAGCGGTCTAGCTTCCTCATCACGACATCCATTTGCTGTTCCTACGCATATAAAACATAAGAGTCATCATTATACATGTTCTGTACATCAATAATATTCTGAAAAATCTAATTACCAAAGATGCTTTTAGCTCTCCTAATTGAATTCAATTTTATTTTTATAGCTCCAAATCACAACAGGAATTGCCTCAAAGTGCTTTTTATTGCAAGAAAACTCCAACAATCATATGATTCCCCTATGAGCAAGCTCCTTGGCGACAGTGGGAAGGAAAAACTCCCTTTTAACAGGAAGAAACCTCCAGCAGAGCCAGGCGCAGTCATCTGCACAAACATATTGCAGCATAACTATTACAGGAAATGAACCTATACTGAGATTGGATTCTTATAAAAGAAAAAAACACAATGCAGCACTATCTATATCAACCAATCACACGGAGATATCCTGAAACCACATGATGACATCCATCATACTATGACTCCATTCGTTAAACGTAGCAGCTTATCACGCTCACCATGGGGATCTGGGGATTTTCCACAGGAGGGAGAAATTAATTACTAGTCACATTTCAACTCAATAAAACCTGACCACACGTTCAGAAAGTGTGCAGATAGGAAAGAATAAAAGTAACTAACAGATTCAAATTCCTCTGTAAGACTTTACTATGTTATATTTTTGGTCATATTCTTAATTAGTGAAGTCATCTGTGTGTGATGTTTCTTCTTGGTGTAGCCTTTCCTTTTTCCCTTTTTATTTGGGATTTTTATAGGATGACACAACAGAACTGTGTTATGACCCAGGATGGTTGAAATACTTGTTCAAAGAAAACAACAGTATTGAATTCAGAGCCTTGGAAAAAAAAACCCAAACATTTCAAATGAGACCTTTTTGTGCACATTTCCAGATCAATATTTTTATGCTTGGCTTGACTGGAGTAGCTTTGCATGACTCACAGTTCTGCCCTGTTAGCAGGCCCCGAGTTCAGGCGCTTTCTGAAAACAGGTCGTTTTAACTCCCCTCACTTTCAGGTCAGCTTTTTGATTGGCTTCCCTCTCAACCATTTTTGGCTAGAAAGAAAATTCAAATGGTTCCAAAAAGATGAGAATTATTTTGTCATTTTTACAGCCAAAATTATGAAACAAGTCCAGGCAACCTGTGTCATACACGGGTGATAAAGGGTTAAAAAAAAGAACGATAACCTACTGGAATCACAACAATCTACTCGTTACCTGAGCGCTGCTGTGCCTGTGGGTTGTCTCCTTAATCTCCGCTCCAACCCATGAAGGCAAATGGACCGGTGTCAGCGATGGACAGATGAGGTAGTTCTTCTTCCACAGATCCTCAGAAGAGTTGAGCGCTGCGCGTCTGTCCTCTGAATTCACAAACACTGACAGCCGGACACATTAGACTCTGAAGTGTACGCAAACGTCCCACACAGCACGTGCAACGCGTGATAAATGTAGTTTTCACCTTACCTATGCGTGCATGTCCTGTGGATTCTTTAGGCTTGGCAGATAGGATGACTCTCTTAACTGTGCCAAAGTGGCCAAATGTCTCTCTGACTGACTCCTCACACAGTTCAGATTTAGAGGTATTGAGATGCAACCATTTGTTTATTTTAGCAGGAAGTAGCCCGTTTACTGTTTTCACAGGAGTGACATCTAAGCATTCAGCATCTGACGCATGCCCATTAACTTTTGTGGAAGTGCTGATGCACTCAGTCATACTGTGGTTCATTTTAACAGCGTAGAGGTGACGGGCATTCAGAGCGTCACCCATCAGTGCTTTAAGAGTCACGTCCAGATCTAGCATTGACTCACACACCGGCCTCTGTACCTAGAAAATAACAAGTAGTTGGAGATAATCTGCATAAATGTGGGCCTAACTGCAGCACAAAGGGAATAAATAACAGAAGCAAATGGGAAAAAAAGGAAAAGGAAGAGAGCTACCTTTATACTCTGCCCGAGCACATTAAGGCCATTCAGAG